ACGCAGCCCTGCCACTCTTTTACCGTTTTTGCTGCTTGGGAGATCACTGGGAGAGCAGGGATGCCCGGTGTCGGTGTGTGGACGCCTGCTTCTTGGGGACAGCTCGGCTGCTCCTAGCACAACTTGAACGATACCTGGCCGGATGATTGCTACCGGTGAGAACACTGGGAGAGTGGGAAGTCCTGAGATCGCGAGTGGATGGCTTGCTGCTAGGACTGCTGAGTTTGGAAGGATGGCAGTGCACCTTTTGGAGTGAGTGAGTGCGTGCTGTGAGTGCGGGCGTGGAGTGCTTTCTGGGTGGATTAGGGATGTGCTATATAGGATTGTCCTCCTGTTCCTGCGCTTCTGCGTGGGAGTGGGTTTGAGGCCAATGTGCTTTTGGGAACTCTTAGTGCTTGAGCCAATGAGCTTTGGCTGGTGACCGTATTGTGTACTGAAGCCTCGCCTGCTTTGTCGAGTGTGAGTGCTAAAAAAGTGTGTGCGTGTGGGCGTGTGTGTCAAAAAACGAGGATGACAGCTCATTAGAAAGTCACCGCATAGCCACTACTCACCCATAATTCGAATCTGCCTGACTTGAAAGGTCAGAAATCAAACAGTTCAAACTAGATGGCTGAGGACTGATACTTCTGAGGGACCTGCTACCGTTTGTACTCATCTGTAAAGCGGAGTAATCCAGGTTACACTTATGGATGGATGCATGTTTTTGTTCTGAAACATATCGTACAAACACTGTTATCTCAAAAAGGCCTCTGGAGCAAACTTATATTAACCAATAGCTTCAGAATCCTAAGAGACACCGTATAGATTCTGGTATAGGGTTCAGGATTTGGGGTTTTGGTATGCGGCTTTCGGGCAGGAGCGCAGGCTGCGCATAACACCAAAGATGAAGGATGAAACCAACAGACCAAAACACAAAACCAAAGATCCAAAGCGAATGCCGGAACTGTTATGGTTTCTTGATGTTTTGTTTTGGTTCTACTGGGTTTCTTATACTGTACCAATTCTCGACAGTGCATGAAACAGGCATACAGACATAGCCTGGTCTGAATTTGCCGACTTGTCCTTTCAAACCCTACCTCGCGACTCGCTCGGCCATGCAGGAGGCAAGAAAATTCTCGACAGCATTAGGAGCACAAAGTCCAACAACAAAACATAAAGCACGTCAGTTCCGGCATTCTCTGTGGTTGTTTTGCGGTCTCAGGCTGGGGGGCTTGAAGCCATACCAACGTAGACCAACAAAACCACAAGCATTCAACGCAGTTCCGGCAGTCTGCGGATAAAGCCGGAATCGCCGGTGGGAGCGGTGTTTCAATTGGGGTGGTAAATATATATATATATATATATAGAGATATATTATATTCCATATAGCTCCCCCCCCGCCCCCAAGATCCACGCATATTTTTATAGAGAATGTAGATATAGATAGACAGATCGATAGATATGTAGATTCATGACACGCTGAGTTTGCACCATCTCTTGCCCTGACGTGGCTGCAAATGGAAAAGGGATTTCGCAGTCTTCCCGAAGCTTCGGCATGGCATCCAGCTACTTCACGTGCATGACTGCAAACAGCACCGTGCAGGAATTCGCAAGACTAAGAGGTGCATGTTGCAATCCAGAAGAGTTCGTGCAGATGTGCCATGGAACTAGCAGAGGGCGAGCTCGCCAGGTTGCTGGAGGCCTTGTGGGGACTTCCGTTGGGGATGGCAAGTGCCGACATAAGATTATCGAGGGCCTGCAGCAGGAACACTAAATTCCACACGACCAGACAAGACGGCGGAGGGAGTAAGCTCAGCAGAACGGATGCCCATCCGCCCATCTGTCGGAAGAGCGTGCCATCAGTAAGCCAGGGTCGGGAGCTCTAAGACTTAAGACCCTGCAGGAGACGCTGGCGAATTGCCTGGGTTACACAGCTCCTCGCGAGGTGTGGAGCATCACTTGAGACACACTATGACAGACTGTCTGCAGTGCCCTCAAAATCGATTGACAGGTTCTTCGCACGAGACGTGCCTCCCAAGCTGTGCTAGCACGCGTGGAAGAGTGCCTCCCCGGGCTTCCGACTCAGGCATTGGACCGAGACCTGTCAAATTTTAGTCTCTATTTTGACGTCTCTGTTTTGCTCGTTCCCTAGCTACATAACGATTAGGCGGTAAGTCAGGACGCACAAGGCGTGATAAGCCAGGCGACGGCACGACGCTGCTCCATCTGTCTGCCGGTTTGGGCATCACAGAGCTGACACAGCGTGTGCTCGAACGCCGGTCAGATGTTTCGAGCCTTCACCGTCAATTTGGGACTCCGCTACACTTGGCAGCGGAAAGAGGCCGGCTGTGCTGCGTGCATTGTGTGGTGGGTTTATCTCGGGGTCCTAGCCAACCAGGCTTTTCTGACTCGACCTGGTTGCAGGTCACGAAAATGTGGCCCGTTTGCTGTTGGCCGAGAAGGCCGATGCGCAGCAGGCTTTTGCAAGAACGGAAATCACAGCACTGCACGTGGCAGCAGCGCGTGGCCACGTATCGGTTCTGCATACTCTAATTGAAGCAGGGGCCGGTGTTAACAAAGCAAATGCTGCGGGAGCGACCCCTTTGCACTGTGCCGTTGCCAAGGGGCATGTTGAGGCCATCACAGCTTTGCTCCAAAGCTCCGCAGATACTAACAGCATCTGTCATGATGGCAAAAGCCCCTTGCATTTTGCGGCGTATCAGAGTCTCGTCGAGCCACTACAGGTTTTACTTGCGGCACGTGCTTCCGTCAACAATACGGATGCAGCTGGCTACACGCCACTTATCTTCGCCTCGCGTGAAGGACACAGAGAGGTTGTGGAAGTCTTGCTGGACAGCATGGCTGACGTGAATATCTTGAGTTCAGACTGTGAGGGGCCTTTGCATGCAGCCGCAGATCGAGGCCACTCAGGCATTGTAGTGCTGCTTCTATCGAGACAAGCGGACGTAGAAGCAAGAAACGGCGATGGCTTGACAGCATTGGACATGGTTACAATCGACGAAAATCCTGCCATCGCTGAGCTGTTGATCGATCGAGGTGCCACGTCTCGATTTCTCTGAGTGAGGGAGGCACGGGCACAAGGCCCGTCCTTGACTTGATAATGATTCTGGCTTAATGGCTTCAGGAAGCACAGAGGCAAAGTGTCCTCGCATGCCCAGGGTTAGGACAAAATGATCATGATGCTAGTTAGTGTACATGGGCATGGCAAACCGGGCTATCCCAAAGGACTCATACCCAAACAAAGAACTCGTTTCGCAAGTGCTGGCATCCCTGCTGCGCAAGGACATGAATCCTGCCATGTGGCAACACATCAACATTCTAAAGATTGAGCGCGTGGAGAACGGAATGCAGGAGGATGGCAGTGCGGAGCCGTACTATAAGGCCAGTAGTTTTCCGTCATCTGAACTGGAAGTTTTGTGACAGTCGTGCGGCTTCATCCTTTCACGGACCTTGAGGCATTGCAGCGTGGCGTGGAGAATCAAGGTGTGCCGTTCGTACCAGGATTGCACACTCGCTGGGTTTTCCATGGCTCCAGCGCAGTGGATCCGCGGAGAAATTAAATAGCTTTTTGGTGACAGGATTCTGCAAACGCTCTAAACTTCTAAAGACTGCTACCACCTTTTGCAGGAGTGTGTAAGCGCGTGCAAGCTCAAGCCTTGCTCGGAGGCCAACCAGACTTGACCAGACCGCTTACTCCGTCTTCTCACGTAGGCTGTAGTCACTATGATCGGCTCTATTGCATCGCCCCCTTCTCCTTCTGGTGGAGAACTGAAGCTCCAAGGATTCCATCGTCTCCAACCCCATCTCAGGCAGGGGGCAAGCAACCGGGCTACTCGGGCTGTGGCTCACTGGCAGCATGATGGCGTCGGCGGGCTGTGCTGGCCTGTTCGACAGGCTTCCAGCCGCTGATGTCTGGAACTCGAGGAAATGCTCTCTGGGGTTCCGGTACATACTTTGCTCGCGATGCCAAGCAACTTGCCTGTGTCAGCTGGTTCATCTGGATGGTTAACCTGCGCGACACGGCTTCCGCCACATGTGTTGTCGCTTCACTGTACGATGTACCGGATTGCCAAAGGTATGTTTATGATGGTGGCTTCTGCAGTCCCGGAGTGGATGGAAGCAGGCAGATACTGCTTCTTTGCAGCAGCTGCAAAGCTAGCAAAGGCAACACAGGCGGTGCCTTCAACGCGGACCAAGGCTTTGCTTGCTCATGAATGGATTCGTTTGCCTCGGAGGCTCCGCTCCCCAAAGCTCTTGCTTTCCTTGTCTGTAGCTTCCGCTGCTGGCACACAAGTGCTGACAGATTCGGAGCACAAGGGCGTCCTCCCGTTCCGTCAAGGTCGTCACCGGAGCCTCTTTAGCACAGAGATTTCGCTGTGACATTGTGGGTTGGGGAGTGCTTCGGCTCTCCTGTGTGTCCGGCTCTCAAGGTACAACGCGTCAGTCGATAGCCTCTCTAATCCAGAGATTTTCGTTCGGCACTTAGCACATGCTTTGGGGGTGATCGCAACTGGATAGTTCACAGACGTGGGAAATAATGATGCCGAGGTGACGCAGTCGCCCGGTGCCGCATATCCTGCTTACGTCATTACATTTTCCTAGGATGCAGCAGTGCAAGTGACGCCTCATTGTTTGCACATGCTCGCTGAAGTTCTTCCGAAAGCCGTTGTGATCCAGTCGCTGGCACTGCGGTAGGAGTTAAATTCGCGTTTTGCTTACAGAATCGTTTTGTGGATCTAGCTTGGACGGTACATTCGCCACTTGGCCACAAGCTGCCGGCACGAGTTCCGTCGCCAGGCTGGAGCCTTTAGTGCACATAGAAAGCCTGCGCAAGAAGTTTAGAGGGTGAGCTCACAAACGTGAAGACTCAGCATGTCCCGGCCTTGTACAGAAGCTCCAGAACTGGAGCCGAGCGAGTTGAGTGCCGAGCCAGGCAGAAGAAGGCACTCCTGACTTGGCGAAGCCACAGCTACTGCGCACTTGAAAGTGAATCAGCTAAGGTGCGTACCCGGGGTACACGTCTTCGCGCAGGCGAACGGCATCGAACAGCTTGGCTGTTTTCAACTGGTCAAATCTCTTGTGCCTGTGCAATATTCGACTTTTGGTACAGCCCTGCTCGTCGTTGGGCTCAGCAGCTCGGCATGTCCCATTCTTGCTTCCGTCCTGTTGAGCCTGTTGACCATGTATGCGATTGGTAACTGGTGACCTATGACCTAACATGAACCGAAGTCAAGAGAGTTTAATCCGCGAAAAGGTTGCACATGCTCATGTCGAACTGCTGGGCATGGGGCGTGCAGCAGCGGCTGGCAAGTTCACCCTGTGCAGCGCTTGTAACGCAGTACGTGAGCTGCTGCCGACAGGCCGTTGGCCTTTCCTTCGTTCACGTGGAAGAATCTCCCGAATGCACACCTGAGTCAGAAAGCCCACCACCCAACAATTCAGGAAAGCACCACACTCGACAACAGCTCCCTATCCTCAACAGAAAAGCGAAGCAACAGATGGACTCAAGCATGCAAGTTCTTTGAATGTGCTGCGATGACACAAGGCCGGATGGGATGCTCGCGAGAGACTGGATCAGAAATTCGCAATTCCAGATGGAGGCATGTTGCTGAGCATCGGTTTGCACATCGTGTAATGCACAGCTGCTAAACGATGCAAAACGCATGCCGAGCCACGCATGTGCCGAGTCGCGCATGTAGACTGTAGATGCTGCGTAATCGCAGGATGACATACATCGGCTGAGAAATTATAATTGGCAAAGGTACTTGCCACTGTTGATGTATTTGCTGGATGCCACGGCAGGGGCTGAGGCTTTGCCGTGCGAAGGTGAACTCACGGAATTGAGGCCGGCTGACAGAAGCTACGCGCGGATCTTGTTGAATCTTTGTTGAAACAGCGTGGGAAGTATTGAGGCGCTGCTTGCCCAAAGCGCTGTTGGGCGGTAAGGGCAGGCCGTTTGAGGCCTGCGAGCGTGATTTTCGTGCGGTGGCATGGCGCACAGCTGCCTTCTGCAATCTTGCGCCGATTCGTATCACTGTCCGTGATTGCAGTTGGGATTGAGGCCATGCTTCCCGCAGATGACGGCGAAAGTGAGAAGGCTCACAATGTGTCCTGTCCTTATCAGCGCCTGTCTCGCTTATGCGTATTATCCTCGTGGTCACGATGTGGCTCTGGCTGCACTGCCTGGTTCCTTGCATCAGGTTGAGGCGTGGCTGGGCTTGCTTGAGACGGGCATTTCAGCAGCCGGTGGACCAGTCGAATGCTTAAAACCTCAAGCAGCAGACGGGCAGCCAGCAAAGTTGTCGGGCAGATCAGGCTGGTGGCCCAGACTGCTGCAGTGGGTGAGCCAGACACTCAGAACAGTGGTAGCTTACTGTTGCATAAGGCCATGCAAACGGTGGAGACATTGTGCTTTCAGCAGGTGCCGACCCGCAACTCCAGTAAAGAACGCCGCGGGCAAAGGGCATTGGACATCCTAGACGCTGCCAAAGTGCTTTCTTCGCCGCTTGTGGAGAAGAGGAGAAGCGCGAATTGTCACACAGCTCGGCCACAGCAGTGGAAGGTATCCCACACTTGATACATTTTGATACAGGCACGGCGCCTCGAACAGTTCGACCTCCTGTCCAACATCCGCTGTGCCCGGATTCCTTGCTGTGGCGGTCGGGGTGGATTCCTGCCTCCTTCTTCAAGCATTTGGGAGACTCCTTGCTCCAGTTCTTTGTGTCCAGGCCGGGCTCTATCGTATCTCCGCTCTCGTCGCTAGCAGCGCGGGCCTCACGGGTGTGATGGTGCAGACCACGTGGACAGAAGCGCGCCAGCCCTTCGTTGAAAGCATCTTCAGTTGAGGAGTTCGGTCAGTAGCCTTCCAGCGGCGCATCGTCGCATCAAAGCTTCAGGGCAACGAGTCCAGCTGTTCCCATACGGCACTGAGGATTATTTCTGCACCATCGCCGGGTTCCCAGCGAGGAGCAGCCATGCTTTGTGCACGAATGGTTGTGGGAATGTTTAGCAGCACCATGGGGTGGTTGGGCTTATCCTGTCCTACTCCCCTCTCTTGGAGGTCACCAAAGAAATTCTGACCCATCCAGGCGTATCCCGAACGATCCAGGCTTGTCCCAAAACTGTCCAGGTTTATCCCAAATGCATCCCACACCTGCAAAACGAGCCATCCCGGCCATCCAGAACTATCCCAAAACAATCCATTCTCATCTCCCTACCCACCCCCCGGCCATCTGTGAAGTCCAGTACTTATTTGACCAAGCTGATTGTCAACAACCTCTTGGGAAGGATTTTGCGAGATTGCCGAGGTGTCCGATGCATTTGGCGAAGCTCCAGATCGGAAGCCGTTGTGCGAGACGGCATGGAGCTGATGTTCTCACGAGAGCCGTCAATTTGTGAAAGAGTTGGTTCTAACATGAGATGGGCCTCAATGCTCCGCGTGGCTGTAGAGGAAGCCGGCTTGTCCATGCCTGCTCCCTTGCCCAGCCGAAGCCCTGAGCGAACCATCGGTGAAAGTTGTTGATTCGGGAGAGAACGTACCTCGAGGCTGCCAAGAGTGCGGCGTTGCTGCCTGAGTCATCCTTCTATGCTGGACTGGTCGAACACTTGCTTAGTGCTGCTTGCATGCGGAGGCAGAAGCTGGAGGCTATGGCGCTGGCTTCGGCACGGGGATCTTCGCTGAAAGCGCGTCCGGCCAAAAGCTCCAGTGACTCTGGTGGGTGGGGGGTTTTGCAACACGGGATGACCTCCTCCGGCAGGCTTGTACTGCAGCCAGTGCTGGAAGAAGTGGTACCAAGTTACTTGAGAAGCAGAAGGTGCGCTTGACGGATGTTTCTTGAAACACGTGAGTGCTATAGTCGGATTGTCGGCCTAGGCAGAGCCGCGGAGAAGACTTGGACTTTGGAGGGTCGTCGCAACCGACGCGAAGCTCATGTTTGGAATCTAGCATGAGCGACACTTGGATGGATCGCAGGCAAAAGCATGCTTGACAGAATGGCGTACTAGGAATGTCACTTCTAGGTGAGGTGATAACAGGTTTGATCCCAAGAAGGAGGAACCCTGAGCTGGAAGGGTGGAGTTGACAAGGGTTTGGTGGTAATGGCAGTTGGTGGGCTTCGAACACCGGAATAGTGGGGGCCCTGGCATGCCATTAGAAATCGACTCATTCAGCACGCGCATGCAGGCATGTATCATCGAGCACGTTCATGCTGTTGGGCTCTAGGCTGGAGATTCGGCTGAAAGGCCGTAACTTTACATTGCGAGCAGTCCAGGCAACTCATATTCAGGCTGGGCTTCACGAGCCACACCGAGCCACCATAAGACGAACAGTCAGCAGACGCGGCATACTGTAGACATGGCCGAGGGCTGACATCCGAGCAGCAGTGATGCAAGAGACCCCGTAGCAAAATGAAAGATGGCTTTCACTCTGGAGCACGTGGCCATTGCTTGTGGAGCCTGTGGGGTGTTCGCCGGCATCGTGAGCTTCGGCTTTCTGGGCATCGTGCTGTGCCTTGCCTTTTATGGAGGTTTTCCTGGGAGTCGAGGTGCAGAATGCACCCTTGTATCGGTGCCCCGCGCAGGTGCTTTGCACATGCTCTTTGGTTGCAAAAAGCGCACAACATTAGTCGTCTCCAAGAGACGAGAACGCCCGGCTGCCTCTGCGAGGAGAGCGGTGGCTCTGCCGCCGTAAATCGTCTGCCGCCGCTGGCACTTTCCGCCTTGCTGTCGAGCGGCGTAGTGATTGGGCCGAGGCCTCGGTAGATTGCCAGCATTACTTGCAACTGCTGTAGACACTGTAGATGTTGACTGCCACTGCTTCTGCTGCTGCTCCTGCTGCGACGATGGCAATGACGACGAGACGACGATGGGAGAGGAGGCGGCGATGATGCCGATGGTGACGACGACGACGACGACGACGACGACGACCGCCAGCAGCCACTGCTGCGGCCGGCGCCATCACCGCCTCCGCTTCCACCTCAACATTCAGCACGACCGTTACTATTTCTTGCTTCTTTTATCTGCTGCCTAAGGCAAAGGCGAGCTTTGCGGCGAGAAGACGATCTCTGGGGCAGCTTCCTCACAGGTCCATTGCTTCGTGAGTAGCAGTACAGACTGGGCTGCAGCGGTCATAGTGTTACACGCAAAGAGCCGCTTTGCTTTTTCAGGTTTTCTATTGACTGCCGTGCCTCGCCAGCAAGGCAAGAGGATCAGTTCCCGTTTCTCCAGGGTGTTATGACTTCATGCAAGTTGCATGCATAACATGCTCTTGCTGATGCCATTGCGTCTGAGGCTCCCGCAGCTGTGGTGACGGTGTTATGGTTTGCCGCTCGCTTGTCCGTAGAATCAAGCATGGAACCGGTGGGACAATCGATTGCCAATATTGGCTTTTGGCGCCAATTATAGAATAGATGTTTGAATTATACATGTTCCCATATACTGGGACATTGGTGTGAATCTATGTGCATGTGTACACCTCAGAATGAGGGGTGTCGGGCTCCGGGTTCAGAGTCGGGTACTTCTCTTATACACACGCGAAGTCTGATGAAACTCAGAGGCAGGCCCACGCCTGGCTCCTTCACTCAGGCTTTCTCAGTGTCGAAGTCCAACAGGCCCTTCAAGAGCAAGTGACGAGAAAAAAGCTAAGCTGTTGAAGCACCTTTCCTGCAAACTGGTAGCCTGCACTTGCGCGAGCACAACTGGCAGTCACAGCCTCCACGATCGCCAGGTAGGACCCAGCACCGTCCAGTTTTCAGACTTCTCGAACACGAGACATCACAGAAGAGCCTTAACTTTGCGCGGAAGGTGAAGTGCTTCTTCGACATCTGCCGCAAAGAGCCATCTGGCAAGAAGCGGGCATAGCGAGCCTGAGGCCCAAAGTTGGCCAAGCTCCGGCCGAACTCCGGCCGAGGCCGCCAGGGAAAAATGGCTCTGAGTGCAGCGACTTGCAGTGGCTCCCTCGTTAGGAGACCGAGCTTGCGCGCCTCTCCTGAGCACAAGTTGGTTGTATCGTGCCAGGTTTTGGCTCTGTACTTCAACGGCAGACATGACACGTAGGCACGTGAACTAATTCCTTGAGGTTAGGCTTCAGTCGTCGAGCCATCCACAGAGCGCTTTTAACTGCTAGTCTGCTAGTGCATGTCCCACACGATACCAAACCACAGTGCAAGTTCAGTGAGATTTTGGGCGTGTCGAATCATGACCTGGCTCATCGAGCACACGCAGTTGGACGCTGTCAAACCTGTCAACATCTCAGATCGTGCCAAGAAGCATTGGTTACTCGAAAGACTTTCCAGCGCCGTGAGAGGTGGAGAAAGTGGGCACCAGCGGTGTGCTGGTGGCAGATCTGCCGGAACTAGGCACCCCTGAGAAACGCCGGTGAGGGCAAGCCGTGCCTTCGCAAAATGTGGCAGAAATGGCTTCGCTGCGCAGGTGGAGCTGCAGCCGTCGCCAGCCGTGACTTCCAGGCATCATTGAGGGACACAGCCAGCTGCGCGATGCTCGAATCGTGATCAGCAGCCGCAAATCTGCGTTGCAGCTCGCTGCAGGCAGGCGAGCGCGTCTTCGAAGAGCCTGTGCTCGTCGTGGCGCACGATGCCGAGTCGTGACTGGAGTAGGCCGAAGCAGACCAGGTTGTACCCTTTGACCAAAGGCCGTCAGCAACAAACTTGGCACGCCTGCATCTAAGCATCCAGAGATGATAGAGTGTGTCGTTTAGGCAACTCCCAACCTTTGCAAGTACAGGTGTTCGTGCATACTGCCACCTGGCCGCGGAAAAGCGACGGCTTCTGCGCGAAGATTTCTTCGGGGAGGACGCCTTGGGCTAAAACACCGGCCACTGTGGGGGGTTCGCCAAACAAAAATGTTTCGACATCCTTGTTTTTGCTTGCTGTATCCGGGCACAGATGATCAACTTGGAATTGGATGTTGACTGATTGCAGGCACCGCCTGTTCGCGAGGGGCTTGGAAGAGCTTCGGAAGTTAGGTCCGTTAGCTGCATGGTGCCCAGGCTGTGCAGCAACCGCAGCCTGCAGTGGCGAGGCTGCACCGTCGAACATCGTCGAACCTTCCAGAAGTGATACAGAACGGTCCCCCAACGCTCGGAGGTGTCGGGAGACTCAGCTGCCGAGGCGCGTTGGGGGCTGACATGGGCTGACCCTCGGAAGGAGCACCTGGCTCTTGCAGGTGCTCGCGACTCTGAGAGCGGAGGGCCAGGATGACCTTGACCTAGCCGAGGTGGAGGTGCGTCGGTTCGTAGTCGTAGTTGCCGGAAGGTTGCGGGCGCTGGCTGGCAGGAAGTCATTCGCGTGTGGAACTTGAACGCCTACGACAATGCCTTGGCACCTGTGGCCTGCAAGGTGAGGGTCCTAGGGCAGAGAGTGCCGGGCGCAGTAGCCCTGAGCAGGTTTCGCACTCGTGCGCGCCAAACCTCACCATACGCTCAGCCCTTGGATCTATGTTGTTTACATGCTTCATGCTTGGTCACGGTACCTGCCCTAGCCATGAGGCGTTGATGCTACCGAAGGCATCATTGAGGGAACAGCTTGCCGGCAAATCGTCGCTGGCGAGGCTCTAGGCAAGATGCCTTGCTGTCGGCTGGTGTTTGCTTTGGGCCACCGCCACGCGCCGCTTTGAAGAAGCCTTCCTGATGGCAATCGCTCGCACGAATGCCGTGTTTTGGTTCTACAGTGCAAGACGGAGGACTTTACAGGACCTTAGGAAGCCTAGGTTCCTGCAATGGCCCTTGCAGCATGGACAGGTGTGGGACTTCAAGGAGCCCCGGAAGCTCTGGTACGGGGGCTTCTGCACAAGCACTGCTTCGAGCCGCGACGTCGTCAATATCAGCGCGGGGACGACGCTCGGAATGGCAGCGGGGAATTGGAGACTTTGCCAAGCTCCAGCAGCAAGGACTCCAGGCAGATGCAGCTGCTCGGCTTCCGAAACCAGAAGGGCAGGGGTCGCTCCCTTCCCCCTGGCCCTGGCGAAAGGGAGAAAGAACAGAGAGAGACTCGAGAGACTCGGGCGGTATGTGTGCGCAAGAGGTAGGACAGTCCTCATGCCCTTCCGTCCGTGGTGAAGAAGGGGAGAGACAGCTGGGTTGTCGAGCTTGTGCAGCACAGCATCTACATTGGCTGTTGTTGTCATGAGGCTCGGCCAAGCTAGGAGACCAATAATGCGAATGTTGGCAATGCAGAGTTGCGACGATTCAAAGCTGGGGGAACGGTCCCCAATATTCCCCAATAACCTAAGCTATGGGCTGGCACTGGCTGCCAGAGAGCAGCTATTGCGCAATAGAGCACGAGGAAAACAGAGACACAAGTCTCGCACCTCCCTCCGCCTCTCGCAGCCGCGATCCTCGAAATGCGTTTGGAAGAGGCGCCAGTGGTGTTCGGAGCTTCGGCCGAGTCGGGAGGTCTTGAGGAGAACGTGGCCTCGGTTCGGGGTTTAGGACCTGCACATGGTTTCAGATGCCGTTGATTGATCGGCGGATGCGCAAGCTGGCTCAGCAGTCAAGCTGCTAGGGCTGCCTGCTCCAACTCCGGCCGAAGTGGAAGCCTGTTGCAAAAGGGATTGCTGGCTAGACTTGAGTCCAATAGCAAAAAAGCGCGAGCACTGTTCAAGCCTATGTAAAACAGAGATGTTCAGGGTAGGAGAGGTTTGCATCTGTCTGGAGCCAGTCAGAGCCTGAGAAGAGTGTTCCCAACTGGAGCTTCTCCTTGATCTCGAGTGCACAGGTGCGGCGAGACCTGACACGAATAATCGACTCACCCGTCACCCGCGCAATTGAAGTTCGTGAGATCTCGCTTGGGGGAGAGAGACAGAGAGTCCTGCCCCGTATGCTGGGGCGATGAAGGGGCAACTGGAAACTTCAGCTCTGTTAGTTTAGGCGGTTCTCGGTACAGTCCTGGGCAGTCCATTCCCCCGAAGTGCCGTTCGTTTCAGCCCCACATGCTGGCCTCACTGTGGTGATGAAGAAAGAGAGCTCAGATGAGAGTGAAGCCAAGGCGGTCTTCAATGCAGCAATCTCTGCACTCGGCCGGGGTGGTAAGTGGCTTCGCACCCTTGAGCTGGCCAAACTGATGCCTGGACAGGGTATAGAGCCTGGCATTGTGACGAGCAATGCGCTGTGCAGTGCCTGCGGGAGGCAATCTGCATGGATCCAAGCTACCAGCCTTCTGCAGGAAGCTCTCGGGCTCAACCTCGAGCTTGGTGCTGTATTTCTAGGAACCGGTGCAGCATTTCTGGAAAGGGGCAAGCAGTGGAGACTCTGCCTGAACCTCTTGCTGAGCTTCTGCACCCGGAATGTTGCTTTAGAGCCAATTACATGCAATTCGGCCTTGAGTTCCTGCGAGAAGTCTGGCCAGTGGCCAGCTGCACTGAGCCTCATGACTTCAACTTGCCACAGTTGGATTTCACTGGATGTCGTTTCTTGGAGTGCTGCCATTAGTGCCTGTGAGAAGGCAGGCCAATGGCTGCAGGCCCTCTCCTTGTTTCGGATTGTTCAGGCAGGTTTGAGCCCCAACTCCTTCACGCACTCTGCAATTCTCAGCTCGTGTGAGAAGGCTTCGCGATGGCAGCAGGCTAGCCAACTCCTGCATGTGCAGGAGTTTTCCCTTGGGCGATTCGAGACCCTCCACTGCAACTCCGTTCTCAGCTCTTGCAGGACGCGCAGTTCGTGGAGAGTTGCCCTTGTTTTCCTCCAGGATCTGAGCAATCTCTCTGGCCTGAGAGCGAATAGCATCTCCTTCAATTCAGTTCTCCGGTCACTGCTAGCCGATGAAGGCTTGAATCGTTGGCAAGATGGCCAGCTTCTGATACAACGGCTTCTCGCTCACGGCATGCAGGTGTCTATCATCACTGGGAACACACTGATGTCTTTGTACGACAAAGCAAGGCAGTGGAGCCACGCGCAAGATCTTCTTGCTCACCAGCTGTCCTTCTATGGATTGCTGGTAGATATCATGACATACAACGGAGCACTGAGTGCCTTCGAGAAGGGTAGCCAGTGGACTCGGGCGCAATGGCAGCTGATGTGCATGTTGAAATATGGTCCCCAACCTCAGATTGTGACCCTTGGCGGATCCATTGCTGCCTTGGGTGCTGCCCAGCTTTGGGAGCACTCCCTGTTACGTTTCGGCAGCATGGGTGAATTCAGATTGAAGGCCAATAGCGTAGCATTCGGTGCTGTACTAAACGCCTGTGACAGAGGGCAGAGCTGGAAAGCTGCATTGTCCTTGGTACTTGCTGCGAGCCGTGATACCGCAGAACTAGGTGCTGTGGAGTTCAACTCTGCGATCACTGCTTGCAGCTCCAGCCATGTCACGGATCATGCGCTCGCATGTGCCCGAGAGATGTTGCTTCGCAGGGTGATGCCGGACCAGGTGACCTGCAATGCCTTGCTCGCACTCTATGGACGCGCGGGCATGTGGAACCAAGCTATCTGCCTGTTACGGAAGACGCCTTTGCCGGGTCTGACATTGCCGCCGCTCGCAGCGGACGTGCTGAGCTACAGTGCGGCTCTTGCTGCGTGTGCGAAGGGCTGTCGGCCATACGAAGCAGAAGGTCTCCTGACGACCGCGAGGTCTTCACGCATAGCCTTGGACTTGCAGGCAATCAGCAATGCAGTATCTTCCTTTCGGCAGGCCAGCCTTTGGCAACAAGCTTTGGGCTTGGCGCTGGCCATGGAATCTATGGATGCGGTTCTCTTGGAGTTGGCTTCGGGCGCAGCGGAAGTTGGAGGTTGTCCCACTTCCGCCGTCCAGCTCTTGCATGTCGCGGCTTCGACCGCCCATCTCGGGATTCGGGATGCTACTGTAGCTGCTAGGTTAGGTAGCTGCTGTTAAGTTACGGCCCAATGGCTCACCAGACTGCTGTCGTACAAAGGTGTCATTTCTTGCTTCGCTGCACGCATCAAAGAAAAAGGACTTCGCTCTGATTCACACTTTGCGAGTCGGATCTCTGGTTGTGCCCATGTCCAGCGCCATTCCTGCAGAGGCAGCTGGTACATTCAAGATACGGGCGTTTGGCGCCGTCCCTGATGTTTCTGACAGATGTGGGCATGTGGAGAATTGGGAATCGTGCATAAGCACCGGCTGCCGACATCAACCGACATCTTCTGAGGTGGATGGGTGCGGACATTCGCCGGAATTTCCTCAAGCAAGACCGTGGCTTCAGCTGCCTTTGCACTCGCTGTCAGAGCTTTGAGCTCGGACATGTTTTGCCCATGACAGTCTCCTCCACTTCTCTCTTTAAATGAAGCTGGCAAGAGTGGGCTCAAGAAGAGGCCCAAGCTAATTCCCAAGAGGGACTCTGTGCTCCAACAAAAAACGGACAGGCTGTTGGGCATCAGTAGTCTTGGTTGCGGTTGCGCTGACTCCAACGACTGAGATGCTACGAGCTTACCTTACCACTAACACTTAGCACACTGTAGGGATTCTCCTGGGATTCACGTTCGCAGAACAAACCCTGCAGTGGTTACGATGCCCCATGACTCCCGCAATCAGATGCATTGCCTACATCGCCTTGTCTCTTCCCATTGATGTTGGAACCGCGGCCTGCCACACAAGGCTTGCAGACTTCCTCCCACTTTTGCTGTGGTCTCGCTGTTGCCAGCTGAAAGACAAAGAGCAGCGACGGAGTGGTCCAGGGCATCATAATCAGCTGTTCAGCTTAAATCTCCGAGCACATTATAGCAACGTTCTTCTGGCCCTTCACTGAGCCAACCCCAGTATACCCGATTGCATTCATCTCGCTGAGGGCTTCACCAGCTAACATTCGTTGCACTGAGCCATGGCCAACGTACCCTACGGAGGCAACCAGAGCCATTCGCGGCGCCTCTGCACACTCAAGATCTTTGGCACATCGGAAGTACTGCAGATCCCCATCGAGGTCACCACCAAAGTCTTGGCAATTCGCCACCTTGTGGCTTCGAGAGTGGGTGTGGAGCCGGAGAGCCTCACCTTCGTTGTGAAGTCTGCCTCCAGCACCAGGTTGCTGCGGAACTCGGACGAGATCCCCTCCCAGGCCTTATACGTTCACTCTTGATTTTCTCTTGAGACCCTCGGCATGCAGTCCGGGGATGCTGCTGTAAGCAAGCATATGCGGTAGCTTCAGGTCAGGAGGGGAGGCCCAATTTGCAGGTGATTGTTCGAGGACCTCTCAACTGCTGGCAGAAGCAGAAGGCGGTTTACCCGCACCCGCACTGCATCATCGGCACGGGGCACGGGGGCCTGAAGCAGGGCCTTGCTTTCCTCAAGGATGCTGTGGAGCTTGCACAGTTTCGCAGGGTTGGGGGGGAGTCAAATTTGCGGATTGCGAGTGAAGCCCTGGAGGATGGAATGCAAGATTTTGTCATTTACGACAAGCTTGGGCGCATCGGAGGTGCTGCCTGGGTTATCAATGCAAACCCTACCTCGAAGCTTCAGACGGAACTTGGAGTGTACCACCTGCAGTATGACCCGGACTGTCTGGTGCCCAAGGCCTTGCCCTTGCGAGGGTTTGCACACTAAACTCACTTTAGAGCGAGGCACCGGGGGCGGGGGTTCGGTGCTTGAGGACATGAAGACCTGGCCGACTCGCGACGATTTGCTGGACCACTTCGAGAAAGTCTGCAGGGATTTCGGTCTACTCGGCCACATTCACCTGAACAGGGAAGTCACCCGTATCGACCGCATCAACCTGAAGCTACAGGAGCCGGAGGTATCGCCGCGCAAGTATGTCTACAAAGTTTCAGTCAAGAGGGCCGTCTTGAAAGAAGCAGAGCGAGTATCCAAGCACTCAGAGGAAGGCGAGGCTTCAGCAAATGCCCCGACAGCCGGGGATCTGTTGGCCCTGGGCTTTGATGAGCCGGAGTTGGAGGAGTCCCTCGATCCCGAGGACATTCAAAAGCCTGAAGAGCCTGAAGATATCCAGATCCTGGATTTCTCCACCATAGAGTGTTATCCTGGAGGTCTCACCGACAACTTACGCATGGAGTTCAGAGGTGAGGACGTTTTTGAGGGCAACATAGGGTATGGTATGTTTGACGAGTTTGACTACACCTCGGTCGCAAACTCGACGGTCGCGATTTTTGGAATGGGTGCCTTTGGCGTAGAGAATGTCAGAACCTGTCTGGAGCATGGTGCCTCAAAAGTCACGATTATCTGCAGAAGGAGAAACATTGCAATTCCGAGGGTTGTAGACTGGTTCATAAACCAAAGCCTTTACCCACCTCCGGCTGCGATGGTGCTGGACGCCATGAAGCCGATGTATGATTTTCTGGACTTGAATGTTTGGGATTTTTATGCTGTGCAGGCGAATGCCGACAGAACGACCGCAACGATCCGACAAAAGTCCCGGTTTGGAATTGGCGACTTCTATTTTCTCGCGACGTGTTACGGAAAAGCTGAGACGGTCGTCGGTGAAATAAAGCGCCTTCGTGCGACCGATATTCTTCTAGAGACATCGGAAAGTGTTGCAGCCGAGCATTTCATCAAAGTCCTGGGCTTCAAAGCGGACCCGAAGATAGACAAGCTCTTCGGTACAAGGGTGGCCTGACTCGGTTTAAGGTTGGTCCTGGTGATCTCTCGATAGGCACGTTGATGATGCTTCGGCCCTAGGAAATGGTGGGTTTCTTCCCGAACGGGGATTGGAGAACATGGGTCTGCTGCGAGTTTCCTGGCATCGATGCCGGACGCTTTGGGGGCACGTCGCTGTCGCCCTCCGCAATTACTAACGCTGAGACCCAGGTCGCACATATTCTGGTCTACCCTTGCATTTACATGGCTCTGCAGCTTCTGAATTGCCGTGGAGCTTGCGCCCTGTAGGATTACGCTGCGTTGGGCCGCCGCCCTGTAATTATGTATGTAATTATGTATATTGCGTTGCAGGACATGGCGACCCTGGCGACAGCTAAGGAGATGATGAAGTGGAGCATCAACTATCCACGCGAGATGCTAGCGTTGCTGGATGGGAACCTCCTGCCCCGTCAGAAAGCAGACAGCAAAACAGGACGGCCAGCCTACCAATACGAGCCGCGAGCAGGAGGCTTGGGGAAGTTAACTTAGTTGTAAAGGGGCATGTTCTATTCCAGTTTTCTCTGGTATTCCTTGCCCCCTTTTTCCAGCCCAAATCACGATGGTCACCATCGGTTGCCTCCCTGGCCTGGCGGAACTGCCCGAGAATCAGGCTCTGCTGAAAAGGCCGGGAGCTCTGAAATTTGTCTTACTGCCTTGATCCATGGCAAGCTTTGGCCGTACAGCACTGTCCACGTAAATACCGAAGTAAAGCGAAGCAAACAGACAGCCACCTGCAGTGAGCGGATGGCGCAGGCAGAAGATGCTGACAGCACATCCCATGGAAGGCGCTTTTGTGCCTTTAACCGCAAAGATATGCTGCCACGCTGCGCCTTGAGAGCATCTCCTCTTTGCCGCATGTTGCCATTCTAATGGACCTGGAAAGTCGTTTCCTTGGGCACTGGCACGGAACTAAGCTTAGTAGGCAGCCAATAGTCAACAACGACTGTGGCCCGATGACTTTACAATTCTTGCTTCCTTGCGTTGTTTTGTTTCCTTTTGTTCTGTTTTTGCTGCTTTCCTGCGGCTGCCATTGTTGAATTGGTGCTCTGTGTTTCCGTGGTTGTACTTACTTCACTGTTTGCTTAAGTTCTTGCCTGGTCTTCAGAGGTAGGGTCGGACTGGGGTTCGTGCTCGAATATGGGTGCCCGCACTCAGATCCCCGATGTTTAGCATGTTGTGCACACCCCAGAAAAGCTAGGTTCTTCGAAACTCAGACTCAGCCTTCCTCCAAGCGGGCCGTGCTGTTGAGCATGGAATCTAAACCTCAACTAAACCGGACGTCTCTAAACCGCCCTTGTAGCCGAGTTCATTACCAGTTGGGTTGCTGGTGCTTTGTGTTTTGCAGTGTACCTCGACGAGTGTGCCAACGAGTGGTACGATTATTGCCAGATGTTTCAGGACAGAGGGGGAGATCGCCAGTGCCGGGGTACGTAATACTGGTAGCAAAGAGTTATCGCTGGGGATTGCGTTGTTCCCTTCAGAGGAGCGTGGTGATGACCGGCCTTTCCCCACCTACCCATACACCCACGAGTATGTGCGAGAGCGCGATTCTCAGAGTCCCAGAGCATCTGCGAGTTTCCTTTGGTGGCCGAGAAGGTCGGATTAAGTCCACATGTGGCAAGCGAGGCTCTGCAACCGAAACGACATCGAGGGCAAGGCAGGGAGATTTGCGTCGTGATTCACAACAGAGCCCCGGCATTAGGGACACCGCGTGTGTAGGAGGAGAGCGATGCGATGGCAGCGCGAGCTGCGGCGAGGTAGAAATGGTGGAAGCAAGCCAGGGCATGTCGGTACCCTGTGCTCTGATCTTTCAACTGACGGTTATCGTGGTCTCACAGACATCTCTTCGGGCGATCAGCGCCGCAGAAATTGAAAACTGAGGCGAAGTCTCTGACATAAATGCAACTTTAAGTCGAAAGCGCTCGTCGCCGTGTGAAGATTATATTGTACCAAGGCCCGGATACTTGCAGAGCTCTGCTGGGACCTGAGTTTCCTGTCCTCATTCTGTTCACACATCTAGCTTGAGGCCTTGTGACGCTTGCGGTGCCGGGACAGAGCAAGCCTCGGATTTTCAAATTACCGGGAGACTTGTAAGATGCTTTGTTGCATTGATGTGCCGATGACACATCAGAAAGCGAAGGTGCTGCCACAGGGACACTCGGGAACGCCCTCGGAGGCTGGAGTTTTAAGCTTGAAGAGATCGGGCGTCGTGGTTGTTAACCAGCAGCGACGTAGACAGCGAAGACGCTGGAGTCGGAACTGCCATGGAGGCCCAGCCTACCTGGCGCTGTGCCTCCTGCAGTCCTCAGCTTGGCAAGGGAGGGCCAAGCAAGCTTTTGCTTCTCCCGCAGAGGGCAACATTAAGTCGGTCTGATGATCCCAAAGGTCGGGACACCCTGAGCGGTCCAGCTGACCCACTTGTCAGTTGGGGCACGTTGGGGCGGTGGAGTGCAAATGGCCGCTGTGCCAGGAGACCTGCATCGCAGCACAGCCGAAGCACAGTTGACGCTCGGCACACAGCTGAACGCAACGGTTATGTCTGAAGACCAGCGTGTGGCGCAGCAGGCATCGCATGCTTCTGGAGCTTGGCACTCGGGAATTCCTACGAGTTACGTGTGTAGAGGTGGATTTCAGGGTCTTCGGGGTCTTCGGGGTCTGCATGTCTGCATGAGCCCAGCCCTGGACCAATGCGCGGGAGAAGTATTGAGGCTGAAGCCGCCGCGTGGCGTGCCGAAGGCCAGTCCTGAGGAGCATTCTCTGTGAAATTCTGAGAAACTTGTCCCTGATATTTTGGAATCTCGGAGGAGTTGGTGGCGTTGGCTGGAGATGTGAGGAGCAGACTTGGTGGGCTGTTCGTCGCTTCTTCACATTGGATCCCTGAACCGCTTCACCATTGCAGGTGATCAACATTGGATATCTGCGGCGGCAGCGCCGTCAGCTCAGACACGGGGCTTTCGGAGTCTGCCGCATTGCACAGCAGCTGCACTGCAGCTTGAGGCTGGTTCTCCACTTTCGCTGCCGGCCTGAGGGCGGGCTGCAGGGGACTTGCCTCCAGTCTGCCGTTTTGTGCCACCCTGTGGCATTTGCGCTCAAGGCTGGACCCCCTCTCCGTAGCTTGCGGCTGTCGTTTCCTGGGCTGGCTCCTCGTCGGAGCCTTGCTGAGGATTTACGCTTTCCCGTTCTCGCGAGTTCTTGCTTTGCTGAAGGACAGGAAATTGCCGCTCCCACCGGCACCCGTTGTTCGCGATCGGCCCAGACCGGAGCACAAACAAAACTTCAGGTCCTTGGACCATCTTGGGCTTATAGGTGCTTTCGTGCCAGGCACACCGATTGCCGTGGCCATAGACTGCATCGCATGGCTCGGCGGCTTCCCTAGTCCTGCACCGGCAGCTTCCAAGCTCAGAGCTCGGGGTTGCACGGCTTCGTTGAGGGTATTGCCAGGGCCATGGGAGAATTGCAAGACGAACGGGGCCAGGGAGGAGAACGAGCAGAGGAAGAGAACGAGTAGAGAAAGACGGGATGTAGTGTGTAGCCCCTCACGTTCATAGACGCTCAGTGAGAGGTTGGGACCCCAATCAGGTTGATCTTCGAGACAAGTTGCAGGAATGTCACAGAATCCACTGTGTTGCACTGCACGCCGCCTTGGCGGTCGTAATTGCATCCCAATGTGGATCGCCAGTAGACGTGGCATGTGCTTGGGCTCGCAACCAGTTTTTCGCACTTTACTGGTGCACGAAGACCGAGAAGCTTACTTTCACTGGGACGCGGAACTTTACGTCGATGAAGTGGAACCACGTCCAGCCTACTGGCTGTCGCTCAAACCTGCGATCACAGCAAATCGTAGCTCGCTGGCCGGTTTCTCTGCAGGGTTTCTGACAAGATGTGAGGGACTAATGACTAAGGAAGTTGCAATGCGGCTAGTGACTAGTACGTGACAATGACAATGAAGGGCATGGCCATAGCCACTCCTTTATGCTGCGGGCACTGCGTCGAGGCCAGGTGCCTGGGGTCGTGCGCAGCTTACCCCATCTTGAAGACGGAACAGCCCTATGCGGGCGGGCTTGGCTTGTTCTCAGACAGAGGACGGATGCTCCCAGGCCTCCGGGGCTTCGCAAGCTTTCCGCTGGCGCGACCAGACGATCACAGACCACCGCAGTATCGCTTCACGCCTGCCGAGATCTGAGTCCAAGTGTCCGTCTGCCGTTTGCGGTGCTACGGCAAGGGAACAGATCTGAAGATTGCCCGGCTTGCACACAGGTTGCAGGATTGGCTTCTGCCAATCTTCATGGCCACAGGTGGCACCATCGCCAAGGCAGTGCCGAAGAATATTGCTGTGCGAATGCGCCGCTCCATGGAGCCCCGAAGCAAAAAAAGTGCACCGGCTTAGTCTGATGAAGTTTCAGCGACACTTTATTGGCCAGGTGGCCAACACTGGAGCACGTGTGGCCTCCTTGAAGGCAAACATGCTGAAGCGTCTCATGCAACATATTTCCTCTCAGTAATGCAAGCTGCCGGAGGAGTGGCTGTCAAACTTGTCCGGGCCATGATGCTTTTCGTGCGGCATTTTTTGCTCTTTTCGCTGTTGCCTTGACTGCAGGAGAAGCACATGCGGACACTGCAGCAAGAAGCTGGATGCCAGGGCCCCGCACAAAGATACAAGCTTTGTCCGCAAGCTATGGGCATTAAGGGGCATCCGCTTGTCTGCGGCCGCTGCAAACAGGCAGCGCCGGCGAGCCGAAAACACATTTGCACGTGCGTCGCAATCGATGTTGGGGATGTGTTCCGTGCGGTGCGAGTGTCGATTGTTCTGCCAACATCGGAGAGGTTCGCTATTGCAGCCGCTCTTGTCAGCAGGCCAATTGGAAGGACAGCTGGGATTTCAAGTCGCTTGTAGCTGAGGTATCAAGGAGAGATGGACGGCCGGAAAGACCAGAGAGACCACAAATAAACCAAGTCCGCGCTGCTTGGCCTCACACAAGTCTCAAGCCAAAAGGTTCCGTTTGCACTAGTGCGTGTCGAGCACTGCAGGGACTCTGAACCCGCCGCCCCGCCGACACCTTCAGAAAGAAAGGAATGCAGCCAGCGGATCCTTGTTGCTTGCTTGCTTGCTTGCTTGCGAGGGGCATGGATTCAAGGCTCCTGGCACAAGGGTTTGCCTCTCTCTCTGTCCTCGCCTCTGCCTCTGTCTTTCTCTCTCTCTCTCTCTCGCTCTCTCTCTCGTTCGTCAGGTACAGGTTTTGTCGGATCTGAGACCTCTCTCTCTCCCTTCTCCTTCCGGCCACCAATTGAAAGAGTATTGGGTCGCCGCGCGCCCGCTCACGCGCGCACTGGTCCTCCTTTTTCTGGTCCTTCCTTTTTCTGGTGACACCGAAGACACAACAGCCAGCAGAGGACAAGCCCCACTCCCTATCTCTCTCTGTGTCTCCCTCTCTGCGAGATCAAAAGAAGGGGATGGTTCGGCGATGGCCAGGGCGCAAGTCTATAAACCCATGCTGGAAGGGACGGACCCAACCTTTCTTTCCGCAGGGTGAGTGGCTATCTCAGTTCTTGCCAAACCAGGTTTCACGCCGAGGTTGCAGCTTAGTGCAGAGAGCTCGGTCCGCGTGGACATTCCACACACGCGCGCAAGACTCTCCACGTCAGAGGGGGGGACAGGGGAAGACGTAGAAGAAGAGTGAGCGGCCGCATGCTTCTATCGTTTCCGAGCTTCTGATTCTGCCAAATCTCCGTAATTCGCCTGGTGCTTTTGGCCGTCGAGACTTCGTCAAATTTCAGCGCAAGCGCACAGCTTCCCCATCCAGTAGCACTCATTAGATATCACCTGCCTCGCCTCGTCCTAGTCCTAGTGATCCTAGTGACTAACATCATGACTCGGCACGTTGCATATTGAGGACCACAAGGGAGGCTGCTTGCCCGTCACAGAGTCGTGGATACCTGAGAGACCGAGCGCCGACCAGCTCGTGGTGACGTTGCCGGGACTGTTCGCAATCAGACGAGGGAAGCTAACACGCCCTTGCAAGGCTTGCTGGAGTTGGTTCCTCAGTCTCCCCAGTCAGCACCTGTACTGCGTCGGATAATGCTCATCTGCCGGCGTATTCGTGCACCTGCATGCGTCTGGCTCCAGCTTGTGCACATATGGTTCTAGATCCACGAGTCTCCTTGACCGACAGGTTTGCAGACTTTGGTGGCGTCAGGAAGGCAATACAAGGCATCGTCCAAGACAGATCTCGAGGCACCAATGTCTGGTTTCGTGAGATCGGGTTGGCTGCGAGTGGGCGTTCGGCCATGGCGGTCGGCGATGGCATAGGGCCTAAATGATCCGACGCTCGTCGAGAATTATTTGCCGCCTAGCACCGACAAAAGCCCACAAGCGACAATCCCAAAGAAGCTAAGGCAGAGCAGAGCATGTCCGGGCCGACGACGTCCCAGGATCCGCTGACTGCTTTGCTCGGCACCTATATGGAAAAGATTGCAGATGCAGATGTCAACAGCTTATGCGACACATGTGCAAAGTCGCGACCATTCGTGCGATACCGCTTGCCAAGGCTGGCCACTGATCCAGTGTTTTCCTCAGACTCAGGGTTTTTCTCCCTGGCCCAGTGCTTTCATGCCTTACTGTCAGGACTTGGGCCGGCAGCTGGAAAGCCGAGTACTGCGGTTCTCAGCCAGTCGCAAACTTCAAGACACCCAGGCTGCCCAGGCCTCCGCCGCTGGGTAGCGCTTTGTGGCTGCATGGGACATGTGAGTCCACGGTCCGTCCACCCCTGGTGAGGTCGACCGAAGCTTCGAGGCGACTGGGACAGGGGAAACAAGCCGGGCTCCGTCGCGGTTTCTTCACCGTTTGTGCCGGGTCCAGGCCTCTGCTAAGCCGGAAGTTGTCTGGCACCTCGGAATGCAAAAAGAAAAGTTGGTCTGTCTCGGTTTTGCTTTGCCGTGCTTGCGTTTGTACCAGGAGCGAGGAGGAGAGGACCGTCTATGTGGGAAAGCTACTGCGGATGCAGCATCCGGGACAGCCTGGCGCGGAAAAGGCAGTGGCGCAATTCCTGAAGGCACCTGGGGCACTTGAGAGTGAGAAGCGTGAGAAACAGGACAGAGCCCGTCACGCATGCGTGCCCTGCCATTCGACCTGACCAATGGCTCCAGCTTCGGCGCAAGCCGGATCAAGCAAAGCAGAGTAGCTGCCATATCCCCAGATGCAACCTGGAATCAGAACAGGCACTAGGGCCCAAGAACGCAATGTCGCATCGGTGTCTTCACACTGGACACCACGATGAAGGCTCACCTGCTCCAACACGGCGGCGGAGCAGTCGCAGAGATGGCCCTTCCAGAACATGAGCACCATCACCACCGGAAGCAGTTGCAGAGGATCTCGCATTTGGGCGAACCTGGTGCCTTGCTAGATCCTCGCTCGGGAGCCAGCGGCCTTATTTCTCGTGGTGTCTGCAGGCTCCGAACTGAGGTCATGGTGGCGCAACGCATACCAGGAGGAGTTGCAGTCCAGGAAAGAAGATCCACATATATTCGGATATTGGCCCAATGAGTTACCATCGTGACTTCCCTGTAAAGGGAGATCCGTCGTCCTTTCCACTTTTATGAGCCACACTTCGCGGAAGACGACCCGCACCAATGGCTCAGCGTGAGGCCGCACGAGGAGTCAAGCAACTAAGTGGCGCCGAAGAAGTAGAGTAGCGTGCAGACAAATCCAGGCCCACGGTTAGGCCACTGGCGTTTGTTTGCTCCTGATCATCTTTCACTCCTCGGGGTGGACCTGACATCAAGCCATGGAGCACGTGCTTGGACGGTGTCCGCAGGAGTTGGGATACCGACGATTGATTTGGATTTGACCTTGGCTTGCGGCTGCGGGTCCCAACACGGCCAGGGTGAGGCTGGAAGTCAGGGCCCGCAATCCGCCAGACAAAAAGGCCTCGATTCGATAGCAGCCCCACCTCGCTCGCTAGCAAAGGAGTGAGGCCGCAAAGATGGCTTTCTCTGACGAATCGCTCGGCGACCGAGCAAAAGAGTTCGAAGCTCTGCGGATGTTTCGAGGCTGACGGCTGTAGTTATCCTCCACCAGGATTTGCTCGGCGAGGTCTCCCTTCCCGAGCCTTGGGCCACCTGGGCTTACCTAGGCGAACCAAGACGAGTTCTTTCCAAGAAGCCAGAGCCAGGCACTTCAGGTGCCCGCAAGTGTCCTGGCTGTTGCTGAGGTTATGCTGCGCAGCTCTCGCGGCCGCCTCTTCTTTTGCAACATGGCCACGAGGCCTTTGGGCATTGCATGGCATCATAGGAAACATCCGTGACGAGACCCTGGCGCCGCAAGGCAAACCACGTGGGACCATCCCCTTGAGGGCTCTCTGCTCGAGGCGGCTACGCTGCGGCCTCGACGAGGCTCACAATACCTCGGAAAACTGGGAGTCGTGCTGCCAAGGATCTGCAAACAAGTTCTGCAGCTTGACGAACCCTGGCGGGCCCCTGCCCCTGATGTGTCCACATGCTGATGCCGCGGCATGAAGAACGCACACATCCAGCTCAGGCGAACCTCACGGCACATCTCCTGGAAGTAGTAGAGTCTTGGAAGCCATAATCATGTCATGCTTGGTGAGAGAAGGGGCGACAGCGCCGCAGTAAGCTTGCAAGGCGGAGGATGAGGAAGACTTCCTGGGCAAATGGGATTCAGTTCCTGCTGGTGATGGTCTCGAGAAGCCTTGCAGCACAGTCCCGGACGGAGGTGTTTTCACAGTCAGATTGCCGAGATGAATGAGTTGTAGTTAGGCTGTCGCAATCGCTTTCTTTGCTCACTCTTTTCTATCCGACTGTTGTAGTCTGCTCGCCCCGATTGCTTGGGCTTGGCTGAGGCAATTCAGACACACTGAAACTGGCTTGTTTTCCTGGACACCTCCCCGGGAGATAGCTGCAGGGCTGCTTGTCTTACCATTTAGTGCTTATTGCCCGTATGACCACCATCTCGGAGAATATCTCACGCCTTCCATTGGTGCAGCCCGCTGAGGCTTTTCCAGTGCAAGCGTGCAGCACTTGCCAAACTTTGCGACGACAGGCACGCAGAACGTAGATGAACATAGTCGAACGTTTGTTCATGCATCTCGCCGGGACATGGTGTCAGTGCATCAATCGAACAGTCATCGACTAGTTACCTCTTGGCCCTGCCAACCTAGACGCAGGTAGTTGTTGTTTGGTGTTGCTTAAAATGCGATGCTAGCAGTATCACCTCGAGTATAGTGACTACAGTGCCATCGCATTCAAGAGTGTGCACTTGCACGGTTGCGGATCGCCGACGAAGGTACGTCAGGCAACTGCAGCTCCAGGAGCCAAGCATGGATTTAATTGTGGTTGCTTGGGATGCTGACGGAAGGGCACATGTCAAGGGGCGAGATCCGAAATCTTGAAGAACCTTGAGCTGTAATTCCAGGACCCCGCGCCTGCCGTGCAGCTGGAAGCTCGAGCCTGGGCAGGTCTTATGTAGAATCTTGCAGAATGTAGAATGTGCTAGTCAGAGGGGCTATGTTCCACTTGCAGTTCTGATTGTCACTGGCCGACCAACTCGAACTCAGGAAAAAAGAATATTTCTGCAGCTATCCGGACTGGGGCGAGCTGTCTTGTTCAAGTGGTCCTGCCGAATACTGTAGGGTTTTGCCTGAGCTCCCCGACTCATCCCGATCACCACTACGCGGCACCAGCAGCCATGGCAGCAGAAGCACGAGCCCCAACAGCGGCATCATGAGCAGCATTGCATTAGCTTCACCACCACCACCGCCACCACCATTACCCCACCGCAAGCACCAGCACCAGCACTGCCAGCACCAGCACCAGCGCCAGCGCCGGCACCGGCACCGGCATCGGCAGCATCGGCAGCATCGGCAGCAGCATCATCATCCAAATCATCCGGTGTCTTCGTATCCGCGCCAGGATGCTCATGGAGGCAGTCGATGACACATCGCAGGGGAGTCGCACGCCCTCTAGACCTGCCTCAGAGATTTTGCCGCGCCATGCAGCTCGGCATAAGGGCCGTTCACCCTCTCAAGGCCCAAGGCGACACTCCAAGAAGCTGCAGCTCCGAGTTTCTGTGTAGCACATCGATGTGACATGGCCGTGGTTGGGGCCCGAGGTGCTGTCGGGCACCAACAGTGCTTTGCTTGCCCAGTCGGACAAGGTGCGCGGGGCTGAAGAGCGGGAGTATGAGTGAAGGATCACTTGGGCGGGCTCGCTGACATCTCCTGACCACGAGTCACGAGAACGTTTCTTCTCATGCCCCACAGCCGGCACCGACACTCGCGTTTCTGGATGCTGTTTGGCCCGAGTCTCGGCTCCAAGCCGAAACCAGCGCATAGCGCATAGCGCAAGCCCTGCGCCGAACGAAGTTGAAGTCCGTGGCACGTCAGGGCCTTGTTTGTGGAATGGTTGCGGTGATAGAACCGCCTGTGGCAAGAAGTGCTAGGTGGTCTTTCGACAGGGTCCCGCTTTTTGATTGAAAAACGCTTTGTCCAGCCCCTGAACAAGTCTGCAGTGTCGTCGGTCCACCTGTCGCCGGAAAGGGTGATGCATAGTTTTGTAATGTTTGTATAACTTTACACGGAACCCTGGGAAGCTTCAGGGTCATTCAGTATGCACTGAGGCAGCATGGCCGCGGCATCGGAGGAGACACCACTCCTTGCACGAAAGCCAGATGGGGAGGCGAACCACGGCCGTTCCGTTTAGGGCTTCGCTTGCTCTTCTCTGATGCTCTCATCGTTAGAGGAACAACCTTTCCACTGCTTGGAGGAAAATTTCGACTCCATGAATTATGACGCCCGCAAGTTGGTCACTTTCGTGGCCAGACTGCAGCCTTTTGCTACTAGTATCGCTTGCGAGCACCTTGTGAAGAGAGACAGAGCTCAATGTCATGTCAAAGAAAGGAAGTCTTCTGGAACTTTAGTGGTACGGTGTGGATGAAATCGTCTTTATGGAAGATGATGGGCATTCTTCTCATGATCGCCCTGTGCATAGCCTCGTCTGTTGCTGTGATGGTAAGTGACCCGGCAGCCGCCTGGCCGCATCCATCGGGCTGCATTTCCAGGTTCTGTGACAAACTGCCGTAAGCTCACGGCGGGGCAGTTGTGACAAGTCTAAGGAGCTCGACGTCGGACGCTTCCAGCGCATCAGTACATTCTTAGAGGTTGTGGTGGGGCTGCTGCTGGGTTTCTTTCTTTCAAGCTCAGTGCAGCGTTGGTACAATTGCACCAATGGCTTCCTGGAGCTCTTTGATGCCATCCGGTCGCTTCACATGCAGCTCAATGCGCTTGGAGTCCCGAAGGAGCGACTCCGCCTGTGCTTGCGCTATTGTGTGGTGTCGGCCCATTGCTTGGATAACGACCTCATTGCCTCGGCAATGGCGCCAAGCGAGCGCGTGGAATTTCTCCGAGACCAATGGGACAATCTTGCTGCGGATGCCGAGGACGGCGACGTTTTCACAGACCGCTCAAAGAGCTTTGCGACGCTGCTTCCGAGTGAGAGGGAAATCCTGAAGAAGATCGAGGACCCAGCCCAAACGCTTTGGGTATGGGTGACCTCACTGCTCACACGGATGGCAGCGGATGGGGAGACCCCTCCTATTCCAAGCCCCACCTACGGCCGCATCATCACAATTGCGGAGCAAGCGTATAGCGGCATTCGCACAGTTCGAGCCTCCATTCGGGTGCAGCCTCCCTACGTGCATGTTCAAATGATGGCAGCACTTGTGTTAGTCAACAACCTCATCAATGCCGTTAGCTTTGGCATGACGGCTGGTGTGACCGTCAGCATGTGTCTCGCTCGCTACCACATCAGTCCCAACACCAGCAAGACACCAGGCCAGGCGTGCCCCCGCCTGAGAAATCTTGAGGCATGCTTATCTCCTTGTCATTCACAGGTTCAGCCGACGTGTCCCACAGTCTGCAAGACTTGGCCGTTGGATTGATTCTTGCGACGGTTGGCCCATTCCTGTACCAGGCCTGTGGACCTTTGCCTATTTTGCCCCCACCTGCCTCTGCCTGCAGCTTTTGGGAGGCCCTCCTGGAGGTCGCCGTTTGTATAGCGCAGCCCTTCACAGCAGCGGGTCATGATTCCAAGTCCCCTGGACGAATCCCCACGGAGAAGCAGCTTGGGTCTGCAGACAGATGCAGGAAGACACTCAGTCAGTCTTGGGGCAGATCCCAGACAGTACATGGGAGATGGCAGCGCGCTGCGCAGTTTGGCTTTGCCCAGCCCAGCTTAGGCTCCTGCGCAACTTGGAGAAGGACTTGCGCGACATTGAGCACATGAGCCTGAATCTCCCTTGGCTCGTCGGCTGCAGTCAGAGAAACATGCATTGTCACCGGCAATGCTCGGGTTGCCTGGTTGGCTTCCTGACCGACCGATCGGACGGCTGATGAAAGCTCACCAATCCACAACATACTCACCCACAAGATCTTCGCAATTACGCGATTGACAAACCAGCATCGCCAACTTGTCATGACCTTTATGACTGGTGTTAGTCATCACACCCCCAGCTTAGCTTAAATCATCATCACAGTCGTCATCATCATTGTCAACTTCTTCATCGGTGCAGGTTTTCCTACCGGGAACAATGGCTCGAGTATCTGCGCAGATCTGTAAGGCCTGGCCCCGATTGCAAAGTGAGGTGGAAGCAGACGTACTTCAAGCCGGCATGCCTGGCTCCCAGAACAGTCTACCATCCCTTGCAGGTTTGGTGAAGGCAGCAAGCGGTCTGAAACAAGTTGGGAAGCTCCGAGGACTCGAGCCGAGCAGGGCAGTGAGGTGGACCCAAGCTGCGCAAACGGGCGGCTTGCAAAAGTCCGATGTCCACTCGACGGTTTGTCATGAACTTTTCAGTTTCTGAAGCAGGCGCTGTACTTCTTAAAGACAAGTCCTTGGAATCCTGCTGTGGATTGACCGGCAGGCTGGCAGAGCACTGTCGGCGACAAGCGGCGAGACTCCTTTGGATTCCAGGGCAGACACGCCGTCGGCTCACAGCCGAACTTGGGAAGCCCCGTTGCCAGAAGGTGACGGCAACCTGGAGGCTGAAGAGCCAAACCACGTAGATCACAAGCCGACAGAGGAACAGCAAGAGCAGCAACTGCCGCAAGACCATCAGGAGGCAGCACAGCAGGACCTTCGTTATGATCAATCTGCGAAGTTTGTGATTCGTGACGATGATGACACGTGTGAGCCGCACGCCAGGGGCATCGTCGAAGCTGAAGTCTTGCCAAACCCAGCAGAGGCCGTGACACAACCCCCGACCAAGATCGACGAGTCAAAGCAGCAGGCGGCCACTCCCCAAGTCCCCAGGGAGCTGCAGGAGTTGGAGACTGCGGTCCTCGCATTCGCGCAGGCCCTTGATGAGGACATGCAGGTTGGTGACGACGACAAGCCTCATCGTGCGAACCAAACGCACTGCCGGCAAGCCGACGACGGTGATCAGGATTGGTCTGCGCCTTCACGACCTGCACCACCCACCACGACAGAGGAGAACCTGGGTAGGGACTTGCCGGACGGGCATGAGGAGCAGTGCGCTGCAGTGCTGCCTGGCGGAGGTACTGGGACCTCAGAGGACTGTGTCACCAGACCAGAGCCCGGCTGTGAGGCAGGCAGTCCGTCGGCTGAGCCACGTGCCGGGGAGGAAGACCTGGCCCTGGCGGCACTGGCACTTCTGCAACTCATGACCCCTCGGATCAAAGAGGAGACCCTCACCGAAGGAAGGCTCTGTGAAGCAGCTCAAGTTACACAGACCACATCTTCAACTGATGCCTGTGCTTCTTTCGCTGGCTGCAAGACAGCACCTGCCCAGGACAGCCCGAGTTCTGGCGATGCTTTCGCGCAGATTCAAAACTAGGCTTGGCCTTGCAAGGACCAGGCCAGCTTGGAGGAGGCAGAGAGCAAGGAGGCTGCCGTCAGCCGCCAGGAAAGGGAAGCTAACTAAAGACACTGATGACAAGTGTTTCGGTAATCTTCTAGACTAGTAGAGAGTGATGTTACTTGAATCTGTTGCATGTATGTGCAAGACTCTTTGCTCTCGCACCTAGCAGGACGAGGCGATTGTCGCTTGGCAGGTCAGCGGTGGAAGCCGTGCCCACTGCAGTTCGATCTGTCTCTGCATCATTCTCCGCTTTGCTCCACTCTACTCCGCTCTCCTTCCATTGCCTGTTCTGCTTCTTCACAGTGTCGCTTTGCGATGCTACCGGAGTCTGAGATCTTATTTTGGGCGGCTTGTGCCCCCACAATACGCGGCTGGTCCTCATTCCTGGCAGCTTTTGAGCCGCGATGAGTGCAAGGATTTCATCGCATCGCATCTATCCCGACTGGAATCCACGCCGGGTATGCTGGCGAGAGAGAAGCTGTGGTGACCTCAGACTTGTCCACTTACTGATTTACTGATCTTCCTGCTTCCCAGCCTTTCCGGGAATGAAAGAACACGAGCAGGTCAAGGTTTCTCCAGCTGCTGGGCATGAATGCTGCTGATATCGACGAGGCAAGGCAGTGAGACACTGCACTGCACTGCACTTCTTGCCGCGGCTCTCGGCGCGTGTGAGAGAAGAGAAAGAGGGGGCTGGGAACTCCCAACTTCCAACCCTCCATGCAGCGGCGAGGCATTGGATGCAGCTCAGGTAGCGGATGCCGACCCTCAGCTGAGAATTCGATACAGAAAGAGCTTGCGGGGGGTACACCCTGAAGCCGAGGACGGGTTCATTGACTACCGGGCCTTCCTGAAGTGGCTCCTGGAGCCCGAGCCGGTCTGAAGCGAAGCCGAGCGAAGCCGAGCGAAGCACGCGCACATCTGCCCGTAGTAGGAGAATGTGAGACTGTTCACAGCGAAAGCTGTGCTCGCGCTCTCCGAAGTTGAGAGACGCGACACGAAGCTGTGGCGGACTGCAAACAGCTCGCGTGGCGCTTCTTGGCACCGAGAGCAGGGCTATTGTCGTGGCCGAACCCCGAGGAACTCGCTTTCAAGCTCATTGCCAAAACTTAGTGATGGGACCTCGTAGCTAGGACTCTCTGGAAACGAGTCGGCGCGAGTACGGAGAGAGCAACAAGTTCAGTGCTTTGATGCTGATGCAAACAAACTAGCCACTTCAGCAGTGCGTTCTGCACCATGGGAAAGATTTGTCCTGCCTGCTTTCGCCGTCCAGCTGAAGTTGCCAGATGGATGTGGGAAGGGAGGACTTTCGCCCACTTACCTAGAAACGAAGAGCTACAGAGGAGCAGCACTAATATCATGAGGAATGTGTCTGCAGCTATGGAGCGGTAGGCCGAACTGCTGCTCCCCACTTGCGGAGGAACCGAGTGTCCATGGCATGCATGGCAAAGCAGCGCTGCGCACCCATGCATCTGCCCAGAGGCAGACCATCTGTAAGCCGTCCTATGCAGCGGTGCCCAGGGCATCCTGCGGCATCATGACCTCCGCTTGGAGGTGAGCCACCTGAAAGAGATGGGCCTGGCCGGCGAGCTGATTTGGCCTGGTGCTTTGAGCAGACACCAGGGCACGGGAAAAGAAGCACACGCTTGACACGAAGGTTCACGAAGCAAATCAGCGCGGCTGGCTGGCAGAGTGCAGCTGACTCAGCCGACCTCTTCATCCGACTCAATCATGCAGCGCGGGGTGCTGTTGTTTCTGCATCTAAGAAATTGCAGGTTGGGGCTTCTCTGATGTGTGGGTCGGCTGCCCGTGTACTTCCTGAGGCCTGGACTCGCTCATCGCAGCTCCTCCTTGGGACGCAGCAGGAGAGGGCCCTGGGGCCCTAGCACGCCGAAGCAGCCTTTCTCATGCAGTGGCAGCTGTTGACATAGCTCGGTCGACCAAGCTCCAACGTGAACAGTATAGGTGCCGAGGCTGCTGAGTTGTCTTGTGACAAGCCGGAGGGTTCACGAAGGTCGCGCTGCAGCCAGATGTTGTGCTGCTCGGAGCCGTCTCAGGCTGCGAACTCATCCATGCATGGAGAGCGAGACCCAATGCCAAACAGACCCCAAACGGCACCAACATCCCAAGAACTCCTTGGAGCATCAGGGGCATTCAGCCACGGCCGACGCTGGCAAGAAGCAGTTCAACTCGTAGCGGCAACCTTGGCTTGGCGGATGCAAGAAGAGCACCTCCACGTTCCTTGCACTGAGGCTGGCTTGCAATGTCTCGCTGTGCGAGCAAATCAGGTGAATCGACTGCTTGTGACGCTTTGCTTTTCTGCTCTTTGTCTTTGTCTGTCATGTACTTGCTGCTGCTCGCTTGCTGCTGGCAGGTCCTCCACGGTGCAATAGTGGCGGCCTGCCGCTGCCTTAGTTTGCCGAGAGGGCATGCAAGAGGGCAAGATTGGGCACAAGCGCTTAGAATTAGAGCCAGGTCGCGAGCAGTGGCTGCGTGCCTTCTGCGTCCTTCAGGAGATGTCGGAGGCAGAGAGCCTGGGGTCGTTGAGCGACAGTCTACATGCCGAGCCTTCGAGGTGAATCTAGGAGCAAGCACGGTTGCAGCCGGACCCGTCGTCCATGCATCGCCATGGGTGCGCCAGCCTAGAGTTGTGACCGTGCATGCTGGGTGCTGGAATCGGAGTGCTTGATAGTGGTACTACAGTATATGACTCCGACTCATTGGATCCTGCCTCAGGTACTTGGTCTGGATCTGCTCGGCGATTTACGGGGCCGACTCTGTGAGCTACGCGCTCACAAGCGAAGTCAGAACATGGCAGAACCACAGTCAGACAGCAAGACTGACTCGGCTTTTGAAGGATAAGTTCGGTTTGCTGGAACTCGATCATCGCCTCTTCGGGAGCTTCCTGGCCGAAGGCTCCCCTCGTATGCTGTCGCGGCTGAAGTTCGTAGGAGCCGAGTTGTTGCGAATTTTCTGAATATAATATACTGTAGGCCTTCAGTAGACATGAGACTTCAAGTGGGCACACCAGGTAGATAGAGGCTCCATTCGGACTATACTTGTTGTGGCAGGCGCTGAACCTGCTGGACGCAGCTCGATCATTATGATGGCTAGTGTTGTCTTTTTCGGTCAGCATCCTCACTATCTTGTTGCTGCAGCACAGGCGACCTACATTACATGTAGATGCCGAAAGCTGTTTTTTTTTGTGTGTGTGTGTGTGTGTGCGCCCCTGCTGTTTGTACATGATTCGTCTTTGATCGCCCCTAACGAGGTCTCCAAGCAAGACGCTGCGGAAACCAATCTGGTCGCGCTGCACCCCAAAAGAACACGGGCTTAGCAAGATCTGACATGTGAATGCATAGATGTCTGGCCGAGGCTGACTGCAGCATTCATCGTCACTTCAGCATGGCTGCTCAGAAGCAATTCGTAAGTTCCAGCGGCTGTCGCGAGACATGTGTTGGGTCCTACAGCTTCAGGAGAGCGTCGACGGGTTTGACGGAGCAGTGGGATGCGCCTGCTTATGGCGCGGCTTTTACGAAGCTAGCGCCTTCCCAGCAGCGAGGCTGATTCGTTTTCGTTGCATGTGTCGCATGAAAAGACCGCGTGACTGCGTCCGGCTGAGGGTGCATTCGGAGAGCCAGTCCCTCAGAAGAGACCGAATTGACCGAAGCAGCCTATGTCGAAAGCGCCAAGGTGGGCAAGGCCGCTGGCGCTCCTCCAGCAGGCCAGCGAAGGTGAGGGCCGCTAGCCGCTGAAAACTTTAACGAAGTGAGGGCTGGGTCTGGGAGTAGTTCAGCCCGTGTGCATGAGTTAATCCCGCAGCAGTCCGCGCACAAGTGGGTTCAACACTTTGTCCTGCCGGGTGTTTAGTCGATGCAGGTTTCGTATAATTCTCAAATCTAATGAAGTCGATTAGATGCAGCTTTCACGAAGTTCAGGCCGTGTGCACCTCGAGCAGCCACAGAGCCGGGCGCGTACCAACAGAGCACACAGCCATAGAGTTGCATGTCTGCGCTTGGAGCATACTCAGGTGCTGCCGCCGTTGGTGCGTGTTCGCGGAGTTCTGCCTGGAGGCTTCTCGTTGCAGTGAGCCACTCATGGACTTCCACGCGTAGCCGCCACAGCTGCCACGACCTTCGGCTCACACAGGAGGAGCTTGAACATCTTGCTGCGGAGGAGTCACAGCTATGCCAGGTAGGGTCGAGCTTGGCGTTATAGAGACTTCTTCAATGAGAGCAGCGCATACCGCAAAGTCAACGAAAGCAGGCCTGTGGATAACGTTGCCGTCTGATCCTCGCTCTCTTGATGCTTTGTCAGCCTATGTGACTGGAGGCTGACGGCCTTTCGAGCAGTTAGCCACTGGGTAACCACCAGTTCATGTAGCTCATGCCTCCACAGCGTTTGACTCAAGGTAGGCCTTGCGGGTGCGAGCTCTCCGCAGTCTCGCTGAGATAACCGTTCGAACCTGATCAGGGTAGTTCCTGCGAAGGGACTGGGCCGCCTTACCTCTGCCATGTTCATGCGAAGGACTGCCAGCCTCTTGCGCCTCCCCGCTGTGCGGGCGAAGTCCGCGCTCGTCACTGCTATGCCTTCCGACCCAGCCTATGTCGCCAACAAGCTCGCGCAGTTCGATGCCATGCAGTTCACGCCGGGTCCTTAAGAAGTCTAGAGGAGTCGTCAAAGCACAGAAGGGCCAGTCTTCGCAGATTGGGATACTTCCCTAGCCAGAACCTCGAGAATGTAACACCAGCAGAAGCGGGAGTCTTGAGCACGCCATAGGTTCGTGGACCCACTCCTCCAAATGGCAAATTTTGTCGACCCATTTCGGGTTCCACCCAAGCAACCAATAAGTAGCCAAAACACAGTTTCCGGGTTTGGCGAACCCTTCAAATGTGCTCTTCCAATGTTTTTTGACTATTTGTGGTTTTGGCAATAAACACAAAAGTAGCTAAAAAGCCAATGGAAGTTCGAGCCGCCAAACTAAATATTGCAATATGGGTTTTCCGTCTTCGTTTTTTCAAGGTACCCAGAAATAGCAGAAACATTGGCATTTTTGTATCGCCTAGGTTTTGTGATCCTTTGGCTGACTTTTCACGGGCTTGGTACGCCGACTGGCAAATTTCGGCGATTTGGCATCCTCGAAGCATCTAAAATCGAAGCCAGTGGCATTTTGATACACTTTTTTGGGGTTTGAGGGGCTCCAAGTGGCAACGAACGAAACCATAGGCATGTTGGCACATTATTGCTGGTCGGGGGGACCGTTCATGGGAGCTTTTGATGCTTTTTGACTTGGACAAGACGTATGGGCCTCTTTTTCGGGTCTGGGCAGCACTTAATGGCAAACAATGCTGAAGTTTAAACGATTTCTGGCTTCACTCAAGCAGCCAATAAGTGTTGAAAACATAGATGTGTTTGGCGGGGTCAGCCGAACTCCTCAGAACCGTTCTCTCAGAGATGATTGACCAGACTTGTGGACTTTTCGCCTTGGATTTTTGCACGCGTCCGATAGTTCTCGATATCTAGACTTTGCCACTTTTAGACTTTTCGCCTTTGGCTGTATTTGTTGACTTGTCACTGTTTTGAGGTTTCCGCCTTGTGCAGTACTTTTCGACGTTTCGCGGCTTTTCTTGACTTTTCGGCCTTTCGTTTTATGCTTTTCGCATGGCATTTGGCCTTCCCCGGTTATCCGCAATTTATGAGCAGACCCTCCTTAACATCAACAAGGAATTGTAGTGAACCAGCTGCAGTGAGTTGTTGCGAGAGTGTAACAAGGTGAAAACGCACCTCCGGAGAGGCCCTACACCTAGGATTTCTTTGGCTGTTCTTTGAGCTTCTTTGCCAAAGCTGTTCTTGGCTTATTGTTCTTGGCTTACTTGTTTTATGTCTCTAGCTGGCCTTGCGTATCTTGTTTTTGCCGTTGTAGTTTTCCAGATGATTTCCGGCAGACACCCTAGGAGCAACAAGGTAGGTTGGAAGCAGTTTCCATCACGATTCAGGACTTGCTGTATGTCTGGATCTTCAGTTTTCTTTCGCAGGCTTCTCTGTTCTGTAGTGTTCTGTTGCGTACTTCAAAGTTTCCCTTTTGCTTTCCAAGCTTTTCAACTTGCCGCCGCGCAGCAGACAAGCACCCTAAACTAGATGCGTAAGATCGCCCCTAAACTTTAAAACTCCCCAAAACCGTGAGGCAACCCTTAAACCCGCGACTGCTAAAAGCAATTGCTGCATCGCCGCACTTCTGAAAGAAGACTTTGCACCTCTCCCTCTCTCTCTCTCTGTGTTTATCTCTGTCTCTGTCTCTATCCCCATCTCTGTCTCTGTCTCTATCTCTATCTTTATCTCTATCTCTATCTCTATCTCTATCTCTATCTCTATCTCTATCTCTATCTCTATCTATCTATCTATCTATCTATCTATCTATCTATCTATCTACTTCATGGGGTCCAAGGGTAAGGGTTCGAAGGTTAG